GTGAACACATGGCTGTTTTGGCAGGCTTTAGGAAATTAATTATATCCAGCAGTGCCAAATTCAATACATTTTAGCTTATTACTTTTAGTGTTAATTTAAAATGAAATTTAATTAGATTACTGTTTTAATTATACTGACTTTACTGCATTTTATAAGTAAACTCTATATACTGCCTTTAGAGTCCTTTAGGTTTTAGGCAGTAGGCAAATCTCATTATTAAATTTAAAAAAAGTATTCATATGAGCAAAGATAAAATAAAAAAACAATTAAGCCAAAAGAAATTATTTTAAGTAAAAATAAGCCTTTTTAGAATAACAGAGTTGGAAGGGACCTTGGAGATCTTCTAGTCCAACTCCCTGCTCAAGCAGGAGACCCTATACCATTTCAGACAAGTGATTGTCTTATCTCTTCTTAAAAGCCTCCAGTGGTGGAATACCCACAATCTTTGAAGGCAAACTGTTCCACTAGTTCAGGGGTAGGCAACTTTGGCTCTTTTATGACTCGTGGACTTCAACTCCCAGAATTCCTGAGCCACATGGATGGCTCAGGAATTCTGGGAGTTGAAATCTATGAGTCATAAAAGAGCCAAGGTTGCCTACCCCTGCGCTACTTAATTGTTCCCACTGTTAGAAAGTTGCTTCTCTCTTTGGTCTGTTTCCATCCATTGTTTCTTGTCTTGCCTTCTGGTGAGACAGAAGGTAAATAAGCTGACCTTCCTCTTCTTTGTGGCAGCCCCTCACATATTGGAAAACTGCACTCATGCCACCCCCTAGTCCAGTGGTTCTCAACCTTTTTAATGCCGCGACCCCCAATCGGTCGTAAGTCAAGGACTACTCAATCGGTCGTAAGTCGAGGACTACTCAGCTGGTGCAGCACCGTTTGCAGAATGGGACTTTTGGCGGGCTCAGCAGGGCAGAGACAGCCTGGACAATTCCTATTGGCTTTGGAAAGCCAATAGAATGAGACTCTATTCAAGAGAGTCTATTCTATTGGCTTTCAAAAGCCAATAGAATAAAAGGGAGTAGCACAGCTAAGGAAAAGGGGGAAACAAATGGCGGACTGCGTTGTTTGGCGACCCCTGTGAAATGGTTGTTCGACCCCAAATGGGGTCCCGACCCACAGGTTGAGAACCACTGCCCTAGTCCTTCTTTTCACTAGTCATACCCAATATTTGCAACTGCTCCTCATATGTTTTAATCTCCAGGCCCCTAATCATCTTTGTTGCTCTTCTCTGCACTTTTTCCAGAGTCTCAACATTTTTTTTTTATAACATGGTGACCAAAACTGGATGCAGTATTCCAGGTGTGATCTTATACTAAGGTTTTACAAAGCAATACTAATACTTCTTGTGGTCTTGATTCTATCCATTTATGCAATATAGGATTAAATTGGCTTTTTTTTTTTTTTGGCTGCTGATGCACACTGCTGGCTCATATTTAAGTGATTGTCCACTAGGACTCCAAGATCTCTCACAGTTACTGCTTTTGAGCATGCTTTCACCTAATCTGTACCTGTACTTTTATATTTCTTGTCTACGTGTAAAACCTTACTTTTCTCTACACTGAGTTTTATTTTGTTGGATAGGGCCCAATGGTCAAGTCTGTCAAGGTCCATCTGAATCTTGAGCCTATCATCTGGGGTGTTGGTTATTCCTGCCAGCTTAAGGTTGTCTGCAAATAATCTTGAATCCAAACAAAGTGGATTCATTAGTTTTGTTAACAGGTAGATCTATCACCTCTAATTACCTAGATCAGCAGTTCTCAACCTGTGGGTCGCAACCCTTTTGGGGGTTGTACGAGCCTTTCACAGGGGTCGCCTAAGACCATCGGAAAACACATATTTCCGATGGTTTTAGACAGGGCTTGTCAATCGCCTTCTCTCCCTCCCCCCCCCCCCGCTCCACCTCACTTGTTTGTGGAAAATATGCTGCTTGGCGGCAGTCTGCACGAACTCTACCAAATGTGCCCTGCAGGGGGTGCATGAAGAGTGCAGGCGCAGAGCAAGGCCCCACCTTCCCCAGAGACTCATTGTGCAGCAACCGGATTGACTTCTTCTTGTGCATGCAGGTCAGCGAAGGGGAGGCTGCCGCAGCACCCAACTCCTGCGCCTGTCAGCTAGCAACCCCCAAACCTGCGCTTGTCAGCCGGGAGGTCTGGCAATGGCCACCGGTCTCCTTTGCCACCCCGCCCATCCTCGACTCCTCCGCCCGTTCATGTCGAGGCCGCTGGGGCTTGACAGGGAGAGAGGGAGGGAAGGAGGAAGGGACTCCTCCTCCTCTCCTAAGCTTCAAAGCACGAACGGCTTCCCAAGGGCGCCACAATCCTCACGAAAGTGGGGGGGAAAAGCAAAGGGGGTGAGAAAGCTCGCAGCGGGCTCAAAGGAGCACCTGTCAGCGTTGGTGATGAGAAATTCCCCACAAACCCAGGGAAGGGGTGGAGAAAAGGAGCCCCCTTTGGGAGGAAACCGCTACCTTCTTCTCCTTGGCTTTGTGCTCTTCTGTTCCTCAGCAGCCGGGCTGCCAAGCCTCTGCTGGCTGGAACTTCCTTTCCTTCCCTCCCTCTTGGTCTCTTCCTCCTGCCCTCCCTCTCCCATTGTTCCTTCCTTCCTTCACCTCCCTTTGTCCCTCCTTCCCTCCCTCTTCCTTTGTCCCTTCCTTCCTTCACCTCCCTCTTTCCCCTTGTCCCTTCTGTCCTTCCTTCCTTCCTTCTCTCTTGTCCAGGATCGGGGCGAACCTCTACAGCTGATCCGCGCTTCTGCAGAGCAGCTAAGAAGCAGGTCAGCTGTAGCAGCTCTCCTTGGCTCCTGCCCAGCAGACTTGCTCCAGCTTTACTAGAAAACATGCCGCTTGCTAATTTAGCAGAAGCGTGAATCAGCTGTAGCCTGGCGCTGATCCTGGGGCTTCTGCTAACTTAGCAAGCGGCATGTTTTCTGGCGAAGCTGAGCAAGTGAGCTGGGCGAAGCTCTCCTCTGCCTCTGGCAGCCTGTCCCCCTCCCCTTGTCCCTGCCTGGGCACGGAAGGGGGAGGAAGGAAGGGACGAAGAGGGAGGGAAGGGACAATGAGAGAGGGAAGGAAGGAACAATGGAAGGGAGGGAAGGGAGGGACAAAGAGGGAAGGAAGGAAGGAAGGGACTAAGAGGAAGGGGAAGGAAAGGAAAGAATGGACAATGGGAAAGAGGAAGAGAAAGAGGAAGAGACCAAGGGAAGTGAAGGAAGGAAAGAAGGGACAATGGGAAAGAGGGAGGGAAGGAGGAAGAGACTAAGGGAGGTGAAGGAAAGGAAGGAAAGGAAGGGACAATGGGAGAGAGGGAGGGAAGGAGGAAGAGACTAAGAAGGAGGTGAAGGAAAGGAAGGAAAGAAGGGACAATGGGAAAGAGGGAGGGAAGGCGGAAGAGACTAAGGGGGGTGAAGAAAAGGAAGAAAAGAAGGAAGGAAGGGACATGAGAGAGGGAGGGAAGAGACTAAGAGGGAGGTGAAGGAAAGGAAGAAAAGAAGGAAGGAATGGACAAAGGGAGAGAAGGGAGGGAAGGAAGGCAGGCACCCACCCCAGTCCCATCCCAGAGACCCCCAGATTCCCCCCCCCACTCTGCAACCTGAGTGATCAGCTGACCATGCCCCCTAGTCATTGATCCCATGACCCTGGGACACTGTGAACGTCATAAGTATGAATCAGTTGTCAAGCATCCGAATGTAAATCACATGACCCTGGGGATGCTGCAACAATCATAAGTGTGAAAAATTATCATAATTCACTTTTTCAATGCTGTTGTAACTTCAAACAGTCACTAAGCGAATTATTATAAGTTGAGGACTACCTATACTTTCCCATTTTTTCCTTTTTTTTGGTCAAGTTTTTGATACCCCCCCCCCCGCCAGCTGGATGGGGGGGGTTGGGGGTCACCACAACATGAGGAACTGTATTAAAGGATCGCGGCATTAGGAAGGTTGAGAACCACTGACCTAGATTGAGTTTTTTTGTATGGAATTCTTCTTTTGAAATGAGTTCTACACATTTAATCAGATAACCTTAAGTTCTGCAAGGCATAACACCATAAAAAACAATCTTTTCAGAGCAGATATTAAAAATTAATCAGGTTCACCTTCTAGGAAATCCTGGTAATATTAGCAAAAGTGTACATTTGGGTTTATTGCCACTTGGAATCCTTAAGGCTTTTTCCCACCTGCACCTACCTATGACAAAAAACAACCCCACACCATTTTTTTTCTGCCATTATCTCCACAATACTGCCTTTATTTCATAGTCCATGCATGAGACAAGCTTAAACCAAATTTAGCTATGCCAGCATTAAACAATATTGTAGCTTCTGTTATCATCCAAGGATATCCTTGAAATATATAAAATTAGTTAGGGGGCTGAGACACTGGCTGGCAAGACACAACTAGGAATAGTAATAGAGATCAAAAAATGTCAGGGCAGTACTGGATAGGGGCTTTTTTTTTTGCCATCCTAAGTGAAGACTACGGTATTAACAGATACGACTTTTAGTAACAACCAGCATTGAGAACCGGAGACACATTTTCAGTGTTTGATGTCTGGCCTCCCTCAGGATTATCTCTGTGCTATTTCGACGCAAATTACCACTCGAGGTGGACTATTGTATGCTGACCCAATTTTTCAGAACGGTTTTGGCATCAGAAGCTAAAAATAGCTTTAAAGTGCACGTTGGGCTTTCTTGGCCCATTATTGGCACAATTTTCCTTTCCAGGAGGGACACTTTTGAAACTCCAGGACTGATCCATGATTTTTCGGTAAAATCCGCGAGAGAGTTAAAGACACGGGGCGCCGAGGGAGATCAGCATCCTTTGCTCTAATTTTGCTTTCCAACAGACAGCGTAGACCAGCAACTCCCGAGAGTCGCTTTCTTTCCTCTACTTCAACCGATTGCAGAGGAAGAAAACGACCAGTAGCGACTCCCAGACACATCAGGCACCCGCCATCTTAAATTTCCCGAAATGCTCTGCCCGCGTGGTATTTTGGGTAGCTTAAGATGGCGGGCGCGAGGGCAAAGGAAGGAAAGTAGGAGGCCAGCGGGCGGCGTTTGTTCTGTTCAGAGGCCGGGAACTCGGGATTTATGACCTCACCCATCTAAAGCCGCCCGGGGAAATGGCTCCGAACTCCCCGTTTGGAACCGGCGTTAAGGCTTCGGGAGTTCTCAACGCGTCCGAGCGTTCTTGAACCTTAGAACCAGACTCATTTACGGGCAGATCCTCTCCAAGTAGGATGTAGAAAATGTCCGCAGCTCGGAAGCTCGTTGAGTTCGCTCAACGCGTCCCGCTCTCAAAGACCCTCGCGGGGCTTCCTTGGCGCGCTACTCAAACTGCGGAGGCAAAATAAAAGTATATCTGATTTTTGCAAACGCCAGGATTCCCGTGCCCTTTGCAGCAAAAACTCTAGTGCCGCTCTCAGCTACCAGGCCCCTCTGTAAGTCTAGCAATGCACAGAAAATGAAGAACCGCAAAGATGTGCGGGGGTGGGGTGTATGCATAGGGGTATTGGGAATTGGATGGAAAATTTCCAACAGCAGTTCCATAGCTGCCATATTAAGAGAAAAATCACCTCCTGAGGTTCACATATAGCTGAAAATATTTATGCAATAATCACCCTCATTTAATGTAAGTGCTGGACCTAAAGTCTTCCAGGTTTTGATGTACGGGCGAATCTCACTACTGTAATTCAGCTAATCGGAGATGTGGATTGCCCTTGCCACTTTGAGCAAGTCTTTAAAGGACAGATACCTTATGCAGATTATAATCGAAACTTTCCAGTAATCATATATTTTGCTGCTTTTCTTCTGTATGAAAATCGTTAATAGGATATTTTCAGCAGCGTTTTGATTTTTTTTCTGAGCAAACGGGAGAAAAAACTATAACTGTGATCCAGGTGCCTGGCACAGATGCGCCAAATAATTTGACAGAAGTGGCGCCAAATAATTTGACAGAAGTGGGCCTCATGATGGTGGTTAGCAAAGCTGGATAATTGTTCAAGACTGATCAGTTGCTTATTCCCTGCTAACCTAGCTATCCACCACGTTCACTGAAAAAATTTCAGAAGGAATAGGCATAGTAGCCACACAAAGAGGAGCCAATACATTTGGTTGAATTTGTAATATTCTTTTTCATATTATGTTTGTGATGTTACTGTTTACAGATATCCATTTTCTGTGTTTAAATGACGCCTATCTGGATGTAATATATTCTTACTGAACCAACAGTTACGGCATATTGTACTTTTATTTTACCCCTGCTTTCAGTCTCATTTATTTCTTGTGTAATGAATTGTGGGAAATGTAGTTTTTCTATGTAAAGGAAGTGAAATATATTCTCTTGATAAACTAGGGGGTGTCGGGATCTGTAGTAAACTCTTGGGCGTGGTGCATGTTGGGATCTGCAGTCATTTTGGAGGGAGGGCTGGCTGCAGAAAGATCTTCCCTCCTCCGGTTGTTCCCGGTGTGGGGAGGAGCCTGGTCGGTGAGTGGTTAGAAAAGGGGAGATGTAGGGGTTTTTGTTTTTTTGGTTCTTTTGCCAGATTCCTAGATTTTCAGGAAGAACTGGTGAGATTGAGAGGAAAATGTATTTCCCATCTTTCTTTTTCTTATGTGATTGGCTTCAGTTTGCCCCCCTCCCCAAACTATTCATTTTATCTGGGTTTAGGTAAGGCATTTTTCAATTAATATTATTCTGTTTCCATCCTCAGTGGTTGTGCCAGCCTATGTATGGTATTGCTTTTTCTGTATATGGGATGATTTTATTTTCTTACCTGCAAGCCTAGTGTCAGCTTTCAGAGAGGGAGGAAAACAAATAGGATTGCAATAGACCTCTGTGATTTAGGTCACAGCCTTTGGGGTCTGGTGATGCAGATACTGATCACTCTCTTGTCCATCCTTGTACCCTTTTGCTGACTTGTCTTCCATTGGCCCCCTGGCTCAAAGCAAGGAGTTGATGAAGACAGCAGCAGCCTTTTCAAAATAATTCAGTTTGCTCTAGTTTTTCATCCCTAGAATGAAATATCTGAGGATGCTGCTCCGCCCAAAAACACGTTGGTAGTGAAGAGAAAGATAATGCATAATTGGGGCATGCAGAGGAGCAGGGAAGCACAGAACAGCAGTGGCAATCTTGGGCCCTGGCACAGCTGTCTATACATGCTTTTCATTTCTGTCAGACCTGCTTCCATCAATTCATTTGCTTCACTCTGGGTCCCAGTGATATTTATATTAAAAACTCTGGAACGCTGTGAAGTTTCTCTCTAGGCATTTTGTAAAATGCTGAAGCAATTACTTCTCTTGATAGGAAGATACTTGTCTAGGCACAAAGATGCCAGTCATGCCTCTGCACATCTTGCCCCAGCAATTTATCCCTCATCAAGCATTTTTATTTCCCAGAATGTCTCATTCAGGAAGACTTCCGATGCAGCACTGTCATTGCACCAACTGAGAGTTGTCAGTGGAAAAATATTTTCAGCTCTTCATAACTTCCAGCAGAAAGATTTTTATGGATAAATTGGCTGTGGAACTGATGGAAATGTAACATCTGATTTTCAGTTTCCATGTGCACCTTGGATGTTTACCATAAAAAAAGCTCTCTTCCCCCTTACTATTTCATTGCAATGCTGTTTTATCTAGTCCCAGGTGTGTGGTAAATCTAGTAATATAGAGTAACATTGGGAGAACTGTTATATAAATTATGGAGAGGGTGGAGTTTGCAACACTTGAGACATAGCACCATAACTATTTGAGCAGAAAAAAAATGCCTTTTGGCCCTTTCAGTAAAACTGGTTGGACCAGTCAGCAATCTTTTTGACCTGTTGACATTTCCTGATTATATTTCCTCAATCTTTCTGGAGGAGGAGTTGAGCTTTGCCACCTGTTGCATTCTGTTAGTGAAATTTCTTCCCTGAAGTTCCAACAAGATATGATTCTGGAACGATCAAACAGGTCTGTAGGGTTATTAATTTCTATTCAGTGTAATGAAAAGAGTAGAGGGTATTTCCTAGTGGTAGATGAAGTATTAAATCTAGTGTTTTCTGAAAGAGCAGGTAGAAACTATTTGGTGGCGACTACTATTTGGAGCCAGGGAACTTATTCATTGATAAGGAGAAGGAAATTGGATTGAAAAAATTACTGGAGGTGAAGAGATGTATGTTACATAGCTTCAGCACACTACCTTTTGTGTTCTCATTTGCCACCTTCTAGCACCATTTTGTTCGGGGGTTGAAATTTCACTTTTAATTAGTTTAGCAGCAAAGGTTTAACTGATTGTTATGAGTTTATTTTAATTGTTGAGAACAAATTCTGTGAGCTGGGATCACTTTGTAAGTATACTGCTGCTTGTTATTTTGGTCTTATGTCTAGCTTTAAAGATATCATTATCTTCAAGCAGCGTAGGATAGTTTTGTATATGAACAACCTCTGTGGCAAAGGATTTAGACTTAACTTGGCTAGAGCTTAATGACTAGCCTTGGTCAAGTCATGTCTTTTATCCTGACCTACCTCGTGGAGGTTTTTTCCAATAAAGTGGGAGATGGTATTAATGCTATTCTGAACTCCTTGGAAGAAAGGCAAAATAATAGATTGTAAGGTATTTTATTTTAATAACACATTTAGTAAGGTTTTAAATCTATATTAACCAATTCATGATTAAAGAGAAAACCAAAAATGTCTTAATCATTTGGCAGTTCTGCTTTGTATGTGTCAGTTTCTCCTATGCAATTTCCTTTAGCTCAGGGGTAGGCAACCTTGGCTCTTTTATGACTCGTGGACTTCAACTCCCAGAATTCCTGAGCCACACAGCTGGCTCAGGAATTCTTGGAGTTGAAGTCCACGAGTCATAAAAGAGCCAAGGTTGCCTACCCCTGCTCTAGCTCCATCAGGTAATCCAAGTAACGTATTTCTTGAGAAGATCATAGCCTACTTAGGCTTGTTTCCTGTTCCACTGCAGAATTTCTCAGTTATCTGACATTCTGTCATGCTGTTGCAGCTCTTTCTATATTTCTTGTTTTTTTCTTGTTCTTCTCCCATAGGCATGGGCAATTACCAAAGTACTCAGTGGTGTGTTCATTATCCCCATCCTTTTGTGTTGACCTTATGTTTTCTTTCCAAGGTTCCAGGGAACCTCAGGCTGATGCCCATCTCAGCTCGTCCACGCCTGCAATGGGATGATTCTCTGAATCCCTTGAGGATTAGTGTGGGCAGTCTTCCAGTGCTGGCGTCCATGACCAAAGCAGCTGACCCCCGTTTCCGCCTGCGTTGGAAGGCCATTGTGGTGACCACTCTGGCCCTTGTTGTTGTGTTGCTTCTCCTTTGTTTCCAGCGTTCATCCCCTGTGAACAGGCCAGTTCCTCTCAATGTTCATACCTGGAGGTTCAATGTTCTATCCAGTGAGAGGTATAATGACACTTATCCACTGTCACCATCCCAGCGGATCCCAGAAGGTGTGCGGTACCGTATTGGACTCATTGCTGACCTTGACACAAACTCCAAGGGTCCCAGTGAGCACACCTGGTTCAGCTACTTGAAGAAGGGTTATCTCACACTGTCAGCCAGTGGGGACCATGTGTCTGTTGAGTGGGATACAAAGGACCATATATTGGAATCTCACCTAGCCGAAAAAGGACGTGGCATGGAGCTTTCTGAACTAGTAGTCTTTAATGGTAAACTCTATGCTGTCGATGATCGAACCGGTGTGGTCTATCAGATTGATGACACAAAAGTAGTACCTTGGGTGATATTAACTGATGGAGATGGCACAATTGGCAAAGGTGAGCTCAGGTTTAAGTTCTAAGTTTTATACTGGAAGGTTCCCTAACCTTTATGTAGTTCCTCCGTTTCTTAATGCCACAAGTAAACCTATGTCCAGCAGAAACCTTTAAGAATTCTCTAAATATCATGCCTCCTTTTTAAAGTTTACCCAATTTATTTAACATTCTGTTACATTGTCTAGTAGAGATGAAACTTCTTTAGAGGTAAAAGAACCATTTTTTTAAAAAAATGTTTGTTCTGCCTTTTGGTCTAAAATCACCCCCCCTCCCCATTTTCAATTGTTTTTTTTAAAAAATATATATATACTATAAACGTAAGAAAAAAATGAGAATATAACATTTGAAGTGCTATTGATTTGGAATTGTTGGCTGTGTTTTTAATATATTAAAATAATATTGAAATGTTTATATTAAAAGAATGTTATAGCACTGTAGCTGTAATGCTTTTTCCATTATCCACTTTGGAAAAAAAAAAAGTCAATGGGAACTTCTGTTTCCATTTTATATATATGCATGGACACCTCAATGGAAGAGTGCTATAGGATTTTATACTAAATTATTTAGTATGTCTTGCTTCTCACACCTTTAACGATTCAGGGAAGTTTATAGAAATACCATTAAAACTGCAAGAAGAAAAAGATGGAACAGTTTTCTAGTATTATGATTTTTAAAAAAAACTGATAAAATGAAGTCTGTTGTAAAACATTGATGAAATGTATTGAGCTGCTATAGGTATGTTTTATAAATTATTACCTGTGTCAAGATCATAACATTTTTATGTGCAGAACATGATGTAAATCAGCAGTTCTCAAACATTTCGGTCTTAAGACCCCTTTACAATTAGTCCTTGAGTTACGTGTCTAATGGAGACTGCCTATTATGGTTGTAAGTCATGATGGTTTTAAATTGGATTGGTCATGTGACCAACCCAAGCTTATGACCTTTTTTTACAGGGGTCATTAAGTGAATGCCACAGTTGCTAATTGAACCCGTGATTTGCTATGGGCTGGATTTGTTGAAAACCAGAAGTAAATGTCCCTTTTCAGCAAAGCCATTGTAAAACCTGGTCATGTGACTGCATGATGCTACAAATGGCCATAAAAATGGCCCAATGTGCAGCCATACGACCACCGGGGGGGGGGGTAGGCAACTATCAGAACTTTGAATCTGGATTGTAAGTATACAAAGTAGGTCTGTCATAACTTTGAATGGTCAGTAAGTGACTGGCTATACATTGAGGGTTATTGTGCATTCTTAAAATGATTGAGGACACCAAAGAGTTTTGGTTTATGCAGGTTATATCTATTGCTATTTATTGTATTAGAAATCAAAACAGAGAATTTTTAAAATAATTTATTTGACCTCGCAGAGCCCCTGAAAACTTCTTTTTCACACTCAAAAGTTCTCAGAACCCGTGTTGTAAAGAAATAGAAAATATAGAAACAGCATCAGATGGTTTTGGAAAGTATGTTGCTCTTGTAACTTACATTGGAAGAACAAAGAGTTATTAATATCAGAGGCTGTCTGGAAGCACCTGAAAAATAAGAGGCAGACTGGTGGTACAGGAGGCAAGTTTATGATTCTAAAGGTAATTTGGTCAAACTGTCTCAAAGGTGCTTTTTCCAAAAGGCAACTGGACCCTCTTGGCTTTTTTTTTGTTTGAAAATGTTTCACTTCTCATCCAAGAAGCTTCTTCAGTTTTAATTGACTGGTGGGGAATGGAAGGATTTAGAAGTGAAACATTTTTCAGACAAAAACCCAAGAAGGTCCTTTTGCTTTTTAGAAAAAAGCACCTTTGGGACAGTTGTGACCTGGATGTTTGAGAATCTCCATAGACATTTTACTCATGCTTAGAACAAAATCCTGAGAAGTTTAATTTTTCTCCTAAGACCAGACAGATCCCTTTCAATCTACTGGGGAAACTGTGACCCCTGTCTTAAAGGAACTGTCTTAAAAGTGGGGGTAGTTCAGGTTGGATAAGTGTTGCCTTACATTGTCTCATATTTTGTTCAGGATTTAAGGCAGAATGGTTGGCAGTGAAGGATGAGCACCTCTATGTGGGAGGCCTGGGCAAGGAATGGACCACAACTACAGGAGAAGTGCTCAATCAAAATCCAGAATGGGTGAAAGTCATTGGCTACAAAGGTGACGTGGCTCATGAAAACTGGGTGGCCAATTATGATGCACTCCGGACTGCAGCTGGGATTAAATCACCAGGTGAGCAATAGACAGATTTCTGTTACAACATAATAAACCTTTCAACAGCTGAATAGTATGCACAATTCTGCTTCTAATTCTTTCTTGTAAAATGAAGGCTTATACATACTTAATTGTTGGAATTAAAAAGGCAAAGAGGATTTGGATTTTGAGACTGAAAAGTATGTGTGTCCTTAGAGAAGGCAGAGTATAATGTCTATTCTTGTGCTGGCTATGATTTACCCAGATCAATACCTGTAAAAATACCTATTACCATCATTGTAATCTTGTAATAGTCTGGTTCTTCTTCCTTGGAACTTTACCAGCTTGTGCTGTGTTGTTTTCCTGCTTGAGCAGGGAGTTTCACTAGAAGACTTCCAAGATCCCTTCCAATTCTGTTATTCTGTAAGTCTTTCTGGTTGTGCTTGAGGATGTCTATCTTGTTTATGCTTCTCAGGTTACTTGATCCATGAATCTGCCTCTTGGAGTGAGAGACTGCAGCGTTGGTTCTTCCTGCCACGCCGTGCCAGCCATGGGCGCTACAATGAGCAGGAGGATGAGCATCGTGGCACCAACTTGCTTCTTAGTTCCACACCAGACTTCACTGATATCTCTGTGAGCCATATTGGTGATGTCATTCCCACCCATGGCTTCTCCTCCTTCAAGTTTGTCCCTGACACTGATGATCAGATAATTGTGGCATTAAAATCTGAAGAGGATGCTGGACATGTGGCAACCTATATCACTGCCTTCATGCTGGATGGACGTTGCCTGTTACCTGAAACTCGCATTGGTTCTGTCAAATACGAGGGTATTGAGTTTATCTAATTAAAAGAAGTCATACTTTTAAGGAGATCATATAAACTCCTGAGAGATGGCAGAAGTTCTGTTCCTGTTTATTACTCTAATTCTACTTCTGCTGCAGAGCATTATGGGACATTGAAGTGCTTCTCTTGGCATAGTTTTCACCTCTGTAAAAAGTACTTTGCAGTTGTTGCTTGTTTCTGTGCTGACCCCTAGTGGTACAAAGTGTGTAGTGCCTGTACAGCCTTTTTTTTTCTCTGTTCCGTTGCATCCTAGGATTTAGCCCATTCCTCTCCTTTATTCAACCATGCTATTAATTTGGCAGAGCAAATCTAATGAATTGCCTTATTCTTCCCTCCTCCCTCTTGTCCCCTTACTATTCACACGTGCCTTTGCTGAGAAGAGAAAGTCTTCAAACCCAGTTATTCAGCAAAGATATTAGTCAAACATTTGCAAGGTTTCCCTTTGACTCTGCCTATTCCTGCAACAGTCATTTTAATGTTGTCTGCACAGGTACCTCTTTTTGATAGGAAATTGCAGGTGGGACTTTGGCCTGTAATCAGGAAACTTTGTGATAACAGCAGAAAAGGAGCTGACGCCATAACCTGGAACTTTTTGGAACAAAAGGCTCATCTTCTGTTTTGGAGGGTTCGGTTCTGCCTTTATCTTTAGAAGCAAAGTGATCCCTTTTTGGTAATCTTAGTATTGAGATGTCAAGCTTCATATACCTAAAAGATATATATATATACGATATATATATATATATATAAGCCATAATTGGCTTTCCAGTTTTAAACATTACATTTTCAGGATATGTACTGGAGTGTTCAGGTCATAGTTTTCCATGATCGTTCATTTAAAAAAAGTAGTTTTCAGTGTTAGGAAACGAGCTCTTATGAGAATATTGTAGCTGGAATCGGATTCTCAAGTTATTCCAGCTACAGAATTTTAAGTACTGTATTTTCCGGCGTATAAGACAACTCGGTGTATAAGACGACCCCCGACTTTGGAGCCGATTTGCATGCTTTAGAAAGTCGTCTTATACGCCAGAAAATACGGTATTCTTCATTTCTCCCTTATGTGTAATAAAATGGGCAAGTGAGCTTCCATGCTTCCATGTCTCTTCCTCATTGTTGGACATTTTCTTGAAACTTTATTTCAATCCTAGCACTATGTCTTATTTTTCAAATAAATTATCAACAGCTTTTATATTTTGAAAATTACCTGAACTTACCTATACTTACCTATATTTTTTAATTACCTGAAATGAAACAAAAAATGTGTTGACAGTCATAACGTGCCAGCTTTTAAGCAGATAAGATAAAAATATATGTTTAAGAAACACAAATATTAAGGAACACTTTGTAGGAAGATGAGCTACAGAAACTCCAAAGAAATGTAATGATTTTTTGGGTATGCCAAAATGTATATAGTTGAAGCCTATGCCATAAATGTGTGTGAATATAAAAGAATGTGCTTTATTCCAAACCATTGTGCTCATCGTGCTCAGTATTCCGTATTCTAACTGGTAATTCCTTTTAGAGACTAATGCTAGGCTAATTTGCATGGAAAATACGTGTCCTTACCGTTGAATGGCAGTTTCGCTTTCACAGAGCACTATATAAAGTCAGATGCAGTTCTAGTGAGAGATTTACATAGATGTCCCCCAAATGCCTCCACCCAATACTTTTGGTTTGTATCTTAAGAGCATAAGCCATAAAGTGATGCATACATAAGAAGGGTGGAATAGAAATAATGATATATTTTGAATATCATGTGAAATTCAGAAAGGCTGATCACTAGATGGTGCTACTGTACTTATTTGTGACATAGCCATGACATAAAGAGATCTGTCAACTTTCTTTGGAAGGATCAGAACACTCTCTGGGGGCGTGGCTAGCAGCAAATATGTCAAGTCCAATCACTGTTTGTGTGTGTCAAGTCCAATCAGTATTTGCCTTTAGAGATATTTAAGATTTAGATCCTAAATGTAAGAGTCCAAAACATATAAAAATAATAAATGTGTTTGGACAAACAAAGCCAGATTTTGATAACTGCCTCCCATTTTTGTATCAAGAATATTGCCTATAAAGTTGAATTGGTTTTTGTAAAATGCTAATAAGAGTTAAACTGGTTAAAAATGATTACTTAGTAACAATTTAAGGATTTTTTTCTTGGAGGCTCAGATATGATGATACTTAAATATGAATTTATTAGAATCACCATAGTTCTTTGTTTGGCATGTCTTTCCTATTAAGTGGTTAATAACAAGAAGCAAAAATAATGATTTGAATTTTAGTTAGTAGGAACTTTTTTGTGAGCAAAATGCCAGAACTCTGGAAAAACGCAAATATATTTCTGATTTCTAAGAGAAGGAGAAAAGATTTCATTCTTTTTCAAACACTTTGCAAAGGAACCTACATATTAATTAATTTAAAACTCTGGCAGAAATACTGTCCAATTATTAAACATCCTCACCTCTGCACAAATTAGCAAATTAAAGTCATGGTAATTTTTTTTTTTAAATTTTGAGGCTATCTGCCTGTTTGTCCCATGGATGTTTGACTTTTCCTGCTGAATCAGCCAGCCCAAACTCAGTCAGCTAGCTAATCTACAAAACAGACTTCTGATTAATTTCCAAATTAAGGTCTTGAGCCGTTGATTTAATCACATCCTTGTATGTCCAAAATTATATTCTGTGTGATTTTGCTCAAAATTTTTAAATTTAAGTTCAGATTTATTTAAAGAAGTTCAGCAATCCAATTTTTCCACATGGCTCTACCATCTTTGTATGAACTGATTGGCAGGTTGCTCCCTCCTATGATCTCTCCACTCTGGTGCCCTCTAAATTTATTAAACCATCTCCCATGAGCTTCAGATAGCATGGCTAATGATAGTGTTGGCTTGGAAGTCATTTACAGTAGAGGAGACAAGTTTGGGAAAAGCTACTCCCAGTACTGTGTGAGCATTTTCCTCTCAGTAAATAACCTTATCTTATATATCCAGATACAGAATCGTGTTCCCTGTGGAAGTTTTATTTTTAAAAGATGATTTTTTTAAAAAAAAGTTGGAAATAGCAAATAACCAAATGTCCTGAGAGAGAGATTATCTTAAAATCTTGTTAATCAGATTTATTGCAAGGGAAAGATTATACATTCTTGTGAATAGGATACGTATGTATGCCTTTTATCACTGTGTGTGTATTAAGGTGCATCCTTCTTCATGCCTTTGATCCCTTTTCACTTCTCTCTTGTTTTACTGGGGAGTTAGCTAACCATTTAAGATATATGAACAGGATGTATTGGTTCTTGTTTTCAAATATCCTAGGTTCAGACAACTTGCTTGCAAGAATGATTGGAGATGGGACACATATTGACAGATAGCAGAAGGAGTCTGATTCTTCCCTTTCGGCCTTTGTTCCCCACTTACCTTGGTGCGGTTTCTGGTTATGGGTTATAATAGTACTTTTCTATCTTTATGGAGGAAAGAAGTATCTTGTCCTAATTCCTTACCCTTGATACCAACTTGTAAGAGAGATAGGGCTCTCTCAGAATCTGAGTAATTTACCCCTAAATGGCATGGCATGATGGTGATAAGACAAAATATAGTGAACTCTAGCATCACTCCTGGTCTTGGTAACTCTGAGGCGTGTAGCCAGTATTTATTTGTTTCTTTCTTTGTTTATTGAGAGCACATTGCTGGAAAAAAGGGAAAATAAAAAAATAGAAAAAAAGAAAAAATACATAACATGAATAAATGGCATTTATAAGCATTATAAGACTAGATTATATTTTTCAATATTTAATTTGTTTTAAATAATTGAATATATTTTTTAAAAAACACATAATTGTTAAAATCCAAGTAATGTATAAGTAGCAATAGCAATCAGCAGAATATAGATCAGTGATGGCGAACCTTTTAGAGTCCGAGTGCCCAAACTGCAACCCAAAACTCACTTATGCATCATCGGGTGCCAGGTGGGTGTGGCCCATTGGGTGGGTGTAGCCAATTGGATAGGTGTGACCCATTGGGTGGACATGGCTGCGGTGGTAACGGCAGACTGGGTGGGACTAAACAGGTCAATCAATCAATTCCAACTTTGCAAGATCTTTTTTTTTTCCTATGAGAAGTTGAAATTGACTGATTGATTGAACCTTTTTTTTTTTTTTTTGTACACGGTGGCAGAGGCCCAAAGTGAAAAGGTTTTATAAAACCCAGCTGAAGGCCTAGGTCTGGGGTGACGGCGCGCATGCCCACAGAGAGGGCTTTGAGTGCCGCCTCTGGCACCCGTGCCATAGGTTCGCCACCACTGATATAGATCATAGAATGAATTAGGAATTGTAATAATGTCTGCCTGAGCAGTTGAAGATCTATTTGAAGGTTAAAATATTAAGACTTTATGTTAAGAGAAAACCAAATTTGGATATGGTATAAGCCTCTATATAGAATTACAGTTCAAAAATGATTTCCAAATTGAATTGAATTCAGTATCAGATTTGCTTTTAAGCTAGGATGTTACTTATATTGAAGCAGACTGCCACAAGTTAATTAGCATTCTTCAGAAGGTAGTGTACATATTTTGCATAAAGACTCATATTCTTGTAATAATTACTTATATGCAAAACTAATTAAGTATACTTTGTGGGAATATAAAATTTAGTAATATTTATTTTTAAAAAAATTACAAGTTTGAGAGAAAATTTAGCTTTTTTTTCTTCATTCTATGATTTAGTCGTTTCCCTAAATTGCCACCAAATATGGAAAAATAAATCAATTTGGTTGTTACCTTTCCTACATATTTTAGAAAATGAAGGGTCTGTTTTAGCAACTGATACTGGAGTAATACAGTAAATGTCCATTTATTTATTTTCTGAGTAATGACATAAAAATTTGTAGTCTGCATTCAGTACAGAAATAGCAAATCTTGGCAACTTTAAGACATGGACTTCAGCTCCCAGAATTCCCCAGCCAACACAGCTTTACTTCAGAATTTCCTCAGCACAGTTTCAACTTCAACTCTCAGAATTCCCCCAGCCAAATGGTCCACATATCTTAAAGTTGCCAAGACTGAGAAATACTATTTAATCATTTCTGTTTTTATAAACCAAGATGAAATATTTTGATGAGAAGAGAAGTTCTTGACACTGTTGAATCTAATTGATTATCCAGGATAATCTCTTGTTCCTTTAGCAATAAGTAAGTTTCAATTTGTCTGACTTGTTGCCATTTTCAAAATATTTCTTTTGACAAAAATCCACTACTCTGTCTCCTTTGGAGGAGATGAAAACAAATAATCCATCTTATGATTTAAAAGTCAGTGTTATTAAAAGTAAGAAAAAAAGGATGAGGGAGTAGAATTTTATTTCACCTTGTCAAATGCACATAAAGCTATAAACAGTTACAGTAATCCTGTATTTTGGCTTTAGGTGATCATATTACAGTTGGATGGACTAAGATATTTACTGCCAGTAAGATTAAAAATAGTGCTCAAACAGCAATCTCTCATAGAATATTGAGGGGATTGAAACAATTAGGCAACATTTAAAATAATGCATATTATAAAATAAGGAAAATCGATTGCAAATTATTGTTTATAATTTTACCTCAATCAGAGAGATTTCTCCCATTTCACTTGTCCAGCCAGTTTGTCCTGAAATTATAAAGATAAAATAAAGATGAAAAGGTAAAAGATTAAATGAAGGTCTTTGAGTCAAGTTTTAATGATAAAATGTTATGTTTTGTTAATACATGGGCATAACGTGGAGCTGATATGAGAATGATTTCTCATTGGCTTTCTAGGCTGTAAAATTTTTTCTAGTCTATAGTCCTGATATTTCGTGGTACTCTCTCACTTGTGTACTAATCAGGACCAGCTCTGCTTAGCTTTTTAAGTATCAGTCAAAGTTGGCTAGGACCATCAGGACACGTTTTTTCTGCACCATGCAGACCCTGCATCTCACAGGGTAACTGAGAAGTAAGCAAAATGTCTATGGAGATTATCAGTCATCCAGGTTATGGTTGTCCCAAACTGAAGAAGCTTCTTGGATGAGAAACAAAATGTCTTCAAGGGAAAAACAAAGTCCAGTTGTTTTTTGAAAAAGCACCTTTCAGAAGTAAGTAATATCTGAATTAAAGTACTTACTTTAAGATTAGTTATTCACTTGGCCAAATGAAAACCTAAGGCTCTGAGATCTGGAATGAAATTCAAAAAATATTAAGCAACTTCTTTTCCTTGTTTCCATCTGTTCCTATCCAAAATTTGTTCTGCAATATAATATCTAGAATTGACTATTATATATTTGCATATATATAATACACACACACAACCCTACACATCTGTCCTGGGCATGATATTATGAAACACACACCAAAGCTTATTTGGGGGTGAAGGACCCATAAGTAATAAACACTAATTAAATAATTCAAGGAGTTCTGATTTCAAATATAGCCGCATATACAGCGGTGCTTAACAGTTTGTGAACCCTTTCAAATTTTCAGTATTTGTGCATGAATATGACTTAAAATGTGGTCTTTTCTCCACACATCCTAAAATTAGATAAAGAAAACCCAGTTTAATAAGTCAGTTAAAAATATTAGTCTTATTTATTAATTGAGGAAAATGATCTAAAGCTGCACATTTGAGTGCATCAAATGTATGAACTCCGAAGGTTATATGTTCATTTTCAGATGTTTCAGTGAGATGATGATCAGGGCTGTCCTGAGTTTTTTAAAGAACAGAAATCTAGGCATTCGCTATCAAAGTCTGGTCTTCACAGCACAGGCTTGTGGCAGTATGTCATAGCTTAAACAAAAAAGCAGTTGATGTTCACCAGGCTGGAATAGGTTACAAAATGATTTCCAAAGAGTTTGGACTTCTTCAGTCCACTGCCATGCAGATTGTGTACAAATGGAGGCAATTCAACCCCATTATTATCCTCCCCAAGAGTGGTTGACCAACTAAGTTCCCACTAAGAGCAAGGTGTGTAATACTCCAGGAGGACTCTATCCTGGGTAAGGCTTAATAAATTAAACAAGGGCTTCTCTTGCATTGGCAAACGTCTGTATTCATGAGACCACCACTAAACAAGAATGGCGTGCACAACAGGGTTACAAGGAAAAACGCATCGATAAGACCACATCGATAAGCCACAAGGCTATCGGAAGAATGTGGGTGGAGGAGACCAAATAGACCTTTGAGGCTTGAATTAAAAATGTTATGTTTGGCGAAAGATAAGCTCTGCATTCCAGCATAAAAACCCTATCCCATTTGTGAACCGAAGTGTTGATTGTTCCATGGTTCGGGCCTGCTTTGCTGCTTCTGAACCAGAATGGCTTTTCATCACTTATTATACGAATCCTGAATTGTACCAGCAAATTCTACAGGAAATATCAGGATATCTGTCCATGGATTGAAGCTCAAGAGAAAGTGGGTCATGCAGCAAGACCATGACCCAAAACACACAAGTTGCATGACCAAAGAATGGATAAAACAGAAGAAAGTTAATGTTTTTGAATGGCCAAGTCAAACTCCTGACTTTAACTGTATAGAAATGTGATAGAAGGACCTGAAGTGGACAAATCATGTGAGGAACTCCACCAAGATCCCTGAGTTGAAGCTGTTTTGCAAAAAGGAATGGGTTAAAATTTCTCCAAGCTGATGCACGGGACTGAACAACAGTTATTGGAAACTTAGCTATTTGGCAGTTTTGGCCAATTATTGAAAGCAAAAGTTCACATACTTTTCCCAAACACACATAAATGTAGTTTTGGATCGTTTTCCTCACTAAATCAATGAACAAGTATGTTTGGACTCACTTGTTTCATTAGGTTTCTTTATCTACTATGGGACTTTTATAGCAAACAGGTCACGTTTTAGGTCATATTTGTGATTTCTAAACTTTCTCCGTATGTACTTCATGACTATATTCAGTAAAAGAAGAGTGTTCACCTAGAAGCACCAAGGACACTGGTTAGTATAGCCATCACAGAGAAAATTTGGTCATAATTCAAAATTTGGCTCTTCCTGGAAGAGCAGGTGATATCTGTGGCTAAGAGGGCCTCAACACATCTCTGGGTTAAGTGCCAATTGTCCCCATTCCTGTTCCTGGATCCAGATGCTCTGGTCACCGTCACTCGTCCTTGTGACCTTCCTTTTAGACTCCTGCAAAGGGATCTACGTGAGGCTGTCCTTGAGGAGCATTCAGAAGCTTCAGCTGGTACAGAATGAGGCTGCACAGGATGTAAATGGTTACAGTTTATTTGGCACATGGTACCACCACTATTTCTGGGGCTGCATTGGTTGCCGTTGTGTTTCTGGGTGCAATTCAAGGTGCTAGTTTTTATCCTTAAAGTCCCTCATGGCTTGGACAGGGATACTTGAGGGCCCGTCTTCTTCCAGTTGTTTTATCCTTACAATCCAGTCTGGCAGAATGGACGTGCTCTTTGCTTCCTGTCAACCAAGGAACATCAGCTGGCAGGCACCAGGAAGTCTGCCATAGTGTCTGCCCTCTGGAATATCCTCTCTCTGAGATTAGGCTGACTCTGATCCTGCTGGCCTTCCCAAAGACCTTGAAAACCTGGCTATGTGCCCAGGCCAGGAGTCCTGAGAGAAGGGTGAAGGGCCCCATTTCCTGGCTATGTTGACACAGAGGGATTATAAAACTATTGGCTGCTATTTGTATTATGTTGTAATTCTTTTAATTGTTTTTATGATTGTTCATTGCCCAGAGTCACTGATTTGATTCAACATAAATCATAATAGGATACTAATAAAAGCAATGAATATAAATCATAAGATACAAACAATAAAGTTATAGTCATAAGGAAATAGGTAATAGGAAAGATGAGAAGGATATAGCCTTACTGGGTGGTTTGACATCCCAGGGCGTAGACAGTGTTGTGGCAATTAGTTGTTTAGGAGAGTGATAGCGTGGGGAAAAAAATTGATTGATTGAATGAATGAATGAATGAATGAATGGAGGGCAATGAAAGACAAATTTCATTAGTTTCTAATTTGAGTATTAAGTGATTAATAAGAGACTATGAATGTATGTTCTCCATTTGTGTAACCTCTTTCAAAGGGCCACTTTGACCTGCTACCAATGGCAGAGCAAACAACCCTTATCAGCTTTGTTTGGAAGATGAATGTATGTTCTCCATTTGTGTGACCTTTTTTAAAGGGCCACTTTGACCTGCTACCAATGGCAGAGTAAACAACCCTTATCAGTTTTGTTTGGAAGATAAAAGAAAAAGTTGCTATCACAGTAGCAAGTAAATGTCCTCTTTCAAATGGTACCTTCCTTGATACCATTTCTGGAGACAAGCAATGCAGAAATCTGGTAAAATATTTTCGATAGATCAAGGGATCGCCTATCTTTCCATGAGTAGTCGTTTTAACACATGCAGTGCAGTTTACACTAAAGATTCCCTGTGCCTCAAATATCTTATTCTTCTTTTGTGGAATTCCTGCCTTTCTTCAGGATATCCTAGCTTGGAGGCCATAGTGTATGAAAAGATAGCACTAGAGAGGGGCATAGTATTAGAGGATACATTGAAGTTTGACCACTGCAAATCATATATCATCACTAAAAGTCTATATTGGAATTCAAACTTGGCATTATCTTCTACCGTAGTACTCCCTTAAGTAATGTTTTATAATTTAACTTCCTCCAATCTGAAGTTTTTCCAATACATCTGGTAGATCCTAACCTATGTACTAAGAAGATGTGTCGTGACTTATCGTGACTTTTTTTTCATTGCCGGCAGTGGGTGCGGGCCGGCAGTTTGACACCCCTGTTCTAGAAGAAAGAAATTAATCCAAAGTGAATATAATTTTTTCAGTATTCTTTACATCAATTGGTAGATACTGTGCACAGTGCTGATGGGAGAAAATAAACTTATTTTCAGATTATTCACATCATACCTCATATTCAGGTGCTATACTGCCTTTACAAGCTGCATTCAGTTGTAACTTAGATGTTTATGCCTGCAGTGAGTCTTATTTACTTTAGACTGGGACTCAAGTACGGGATAAGAACATTTCAATTTGAAAAGCTCTACATTGTCACCACTATTCATTTCTACGTGTAGCATTCCTAATGTTACAAAAGGCTGCGGGGTTCTTTCACCATTTTAATGAAATCTAAATTTTCTAAGATGGCTGCATATTTGCAGTGGTAAAAACAATGGCTATCATTTTGCTAAAGCAAGCCTTCTTATCACCTAGGCTACAATATAATCTGTAGAACAGAAAGAGTCTTGCTCACCATACATGAACACATACTCACACACACTAGTTGTAAACTCACCCAGTCCTTACCAGATTAAGAGATGGTATTTACAAGTTGTTACATGAAAAATTATATAAAACTGACGCTTAATTGATGGTCTATAAAAGCAACTTCTTTGATGTTCTTCCACTTCTGTTCTGCTCAAAGGCTTGTCAGAACTAATGCTGCAACTCCCCAGTGCCTCTGTTCATGAACAAAAATAGTTTGGAATAAAAGTCCATTCTCCGCCCCCTACCCATACTCTAATTCACATATATTACATTATTGGAATGTGCCACATAAAATTAGGTTTTGACCATAGCTCCTTGTCACTGAATATTTTCTGTAATCTATCTACAAATCCAAGTATTTATATTTATAAGAAGAACTATGATTGTATATGATTGAGCCGTGGTGGTGCAGTGGTTGGAATGCAATATTGCAGGCTAATTCTGCTGACTGCCGACTGCCAGCAGTTCGGCAATTCGATTCTCACCAGCTCAAGGTTAACTCAGCCTTCTACCCTTCCAGGATTGGAAAAATGAGGACCCAGATTGTTGGGGGCAATATGCTGACTCTGTAAACAACTTAGAGAGGGCTGTAAACCATCACAAAATGATATATAAGTCTAAATGTTATTGGTAGTGCTATTGCTAGTGTATTTATAGGAAGAAAGCATGATTGTACGTCTCATTCTGATTAGCATAGATACTAAAAATGATACCTTTTTAAAATCAGTATGACCTTAATCCAGGCATCGCTTGGCAATTAGCTCATTGCATGTAGGGATGTGGAGTTAATGGGAAGCTATTTCCTTCTAACCCTGCTGGGCAGCAACATAGTCACTATTGGATAAGGCCATATATCGTTTTAATTAGAGCTCATTATGACAAAAGTTGGAAAACTGCTCTAAAGGAACTACCTCGTTTCCCCGAAAATAATACCGGAGCTTTTTTTTTTTTGCCTTCAAAAGAAGCACCAGGTTTTATTTTTGGGGCGTGTCTTTTTTACTCACCTCCGGCACCGACAGCCCTGTCCAACCAGTCCACTTCTGCAGCCAAAGCAGCAGATTCATTCTGCAGCTGCAGTCTGGCCTGCATTTCCCAATCAGGCCTTTGCGGAAGGGCTATGAAGCCAAGGACCGAGCTATGGATTCCTCCATAGCTCGGTTCTCGGCTGCAGTGGCCTTTCCAGAAATGCAAGCCTGACTGCAGAAGAGGCCTCAGAAGAAGAAGTGGGCCAGCAAGGATAGGCCTGGCTGCAAGATGAGTGGGTGCAGGGCGCATGGGGCAGCTCTACCCCGCCCTAGCTTGATTTTTAGGTGTGTACCTTACCCCAAAACTAGGGCTTATTTTGGAGATAGGGCTTATATTAGGCCCACCCCCAAAAATCAAGCTAGGGCTTATTTTGGGGGCAGGCCTTACTTTCAGGGAAACAGGGTAGTAGCAGTCAGTTTGTGGACCGATTCTTCCAAGTCTCATCCAAAAGCAAAAAGACTCATTGAGTTTAATACCATTCATCTTTATTTGAGAGATCTGCTTAAATATACAAATAGTGCTTATTTATTTTATATTCAACTTTTTTCCATTGTGACATTCATAGGAATTTATTCAGCCACACTTGTGCTCTTGACCAGGGGTCCGCAAACATGGCAATGTTAAGACTTCTAGATTTCAACTCCCAGAATTCCTCAGCCAGTCATGCTCTTGACAATTCATTTCAGCAGAAAGCAAGATTATCCAGCTTTTCTTTTAACAAAATTGACTGAAAGCAGATTGGAAAAAGTTATAGAAATCTCTGCAATTGGATTGGTTTCACTTTAGAATCCAAATTAGCTTCCATGTTGCTAGGGTGGAGACTTGCTTAGTCTTTTACTTAAGGGCTCAGTATGATCTGCTGAACAGGGCTATTCTCTCAGCTGATCTGAGGAACGTCCTGTGCTCAGCACGTGAATCTCTCAGAGAATCTAAAGTTACCATTAAAGCTATTAACTTATTCATACATCACATGCTCTCAAACCATGCCCTAGGATGCTATCCCCCATTTGCATATATGGATTGCTCACTATGTGTATGCTACTGAAAAATAGAATTCTTTTCCCAGAAGCATTGTTTGTGCTAGAAGTGTAAAACAGTTTCCTAGTTTTGCTTTTGATCCAAAGGGTACAAAAGCAGTCTAAACCAGTGATGGCGAACCTGTGGCACGGGTGCCAGAGGCAAGCATGTCGTCGCCCTAGTCCTAGGCCTTCAGCAGGGTTTTATAAAACCTTTTCGCTTTAGGCCTCTGCCGCCATGTGCAAAAAAAAAAAAAAAAAAGTTCAATCAGTCAATTTCAACTTCTTGCGGGAAAAAAAAAGTTCTTGCAAAGTTGGAATTGATTGATTGAACTTTTTAGTCCCACCCAGTTTGCCGTTACCACTGCAGCCATGCCACCCAATGGGCCACACCCACCCGGCACTCGACGATGCATAAGTGGGTTTTGGGTTGCAGTTTGGGCACTCAGTCTCTAAACTATACCTAGTGTGAACTTTAGGTTGATGCTATGTAATGACATCTCCTAAGGTAACATAAATAAATAAATAAAAATGAAACTAAAAAGAAAAAAAATATCCTTATGTCACTACATGGCACCAAGCCTAAAGTTCACACTAACTCGAACAGCTCTCATATCTTTTGGATTGAGAGGTGTTTTTTTTTTCCTCTTTTAACTATCACACTTATCTCATGTTTGGCTAGATAGTTTTGGAGATATTAGTTTAACTAAAATGTAATAGTTTTGCTTGCCATCATTACTGCTTGTATCCTCTTCACTACACATTGATATTGGTTTGAAAGTTTGATATGGTTACAAAAAATGGTTGATGACTTGCAATGATCTCAGGTTAATTCTGCAGTGCAGAGGCGTTGATCTTTCATTTATTTTTCCGAGTCCATCTATACATTTGAATCAGATGAGGAAAAAGAAATTGCAAATGAGCTATTGGGAAGCAACATGAGTTTTTGTTTATGCTTTCTAATATATTTATGAGTTCCAGACCAAGGAAATACTCCCTGAATAAGTTTCCCATGACATGAAATCCCTTACTGTCCAACTTTCAAATTCTGGAACTTGCAGCTTTTTAAAACTTCATTATGTTACATTCTTATATTGTTGAAACTTGCTGTATGCCTAAAAAACTCCCCCAAATCTGGATGTTTTGTAGTTCTCCATGGGGGAAGATGAAAATCAACATGAGAGAACTAGCTTTGGTCCATTGAAAAAATACTTTCTCTTTTCTGTTCACTGACATATTTATTTAATAGATTCAAAATATTTGTCTCAAGTGGAATCTTACTGGACTGTGCTATTGTGTGGATTTATGGAAATGCATAGTCAGAAATTCTTGTGCATTGCCACATTTAGCTGTGCTTAGGCTGTGTGGATGGTCACATTTTCTTATGACACAGTTGCTGTGGGAGAGGCAAGAGTCTATTCAGAAGACTTTTTTTCCCAATCCATGATTTCTAAATGCTGCAGCATCTGTTCTGACTAAGAATTACAAGAGCTGAGCACCCTGAGTATTGTATATGGGGGCACTTTAAATTTCGCAGGATATTCTAATAGTTTTCATCTTTCAATAATATTATATCAGGCTTCCTAATCTGGGTTGCAAAACTCCAGATGCCTGCTGATGACAATAAACTTAGCTGCCATGTTTGGTCATCTATAGCAGGGCTTTTCGACCAGTGGTACGGGTACCATCTGTGGTACATTGGCACCTGGCAGGTGGTGCGCGACCATCCTAGAAAAGTGGTAACGGGGGAGGGCAATGAGCTGAACCGGTGGCAGCACTGCACAAGCCTGAGCTAGAGACGGCTGGAGCTGCAGGGCTGTCAGGGCTCAGCGGAAGCACCAGGATCAGTGCCAGGCTCCAGCTGGAGCTTGGCGCTGATCCTGGCGCTTCTGCTGAGCCCAGAAGAAGCGCCGATCAGCTGGAATATTGCAGCATCTCCAGGATCTTATGATTTACATTCAGATGCTTGGCAACTGATTCATATTTATGATGGTCACAATGTCCCAGGGTCATGTGAAGTGACCAAAACCCACTGCAACCACCCAGCAGATGGGGGGAATAAAAACCAAACACCCTCACCACATCCTCGCTGCCAATCCTCAACAGAAATGCTCACAACAATGAAAACCTCGGACAGGAGGAAGAGTGCCACTGGGTGGGCAGGCAAGAGTCTTGCTCGGCTGTGGCTTGGGGGGCACTTTTTTCAGTGCCATTGTAACTTCGAACAGTCACTAAGCAAACTGTTGTAAGTTGAGGACTACCTGTACTTTATCACTTTTTTTTCTTTTTTGGGGGGGTCATCAAATTTTTGATACCTTGCTAGGCGACTGGTGGTACTCGGATGTTGCCGTATCCTAAAAGTGGTACAATGGGTGAAAAGGTTGAAAAGGCCTGATCTAGAGTTTTGCAACCCAGATCTGGTAGCATAAGCAAGTAACATTAAACTACTTGCCATCAGCATCACTGCAAGTAACTACAATTGTTGACTTGACAAGATAGGAAAATCAGACCCTCACGTGTGAAGATACCACCCATTTCAGATCAATGCCACCCTTCCGTGACCTCATAAGGTGTACTTCTAACCATCTTGAAACTGTAAGCTGATGAACCCCAGAAGTTAATCTATGCTCCAGAGAAAACACGATGATGATAGTTGTTTGATAGGAACTTTTGCTTCTCACCATGTCCTAATTTTGGTATTACACGTTTCTCCAGAAGCCAGGAGGCCATGGTGCTCTGGTTTTTTCCTATTTCCCCCTCTGCCACTTCCTAACAGCAACACTGAGAAGTAAAGATGTTGAGAAGTAAAGATTGGGATAGGGTAAAAAGCTGCCCAATCCCCTTTTGGCACTCTCCCATTGCTGGCTAAAGGGAATTCTAACCAATGCAAAGAGGAGCATGTGAGGACAATTGTCATAACACTCCACAGAGTAGAAGAGTGATAACTGTAATAAGGAGGTGTAGTTACTAATTCAATAGCCACCAATGGGGAATCCACCGCAGTGTAATCAGCTCATTTTTAGATCAATAAGGGTTCTGAAGCCTTGGTAGATTAAACATAATGTCTAGAACAGTGGTTCTCAACCTTTCTAATGCCGTGACCCCATAAAATAGTTCCCCATGTTGTGGTGACCCCCAAGTGGGTGTGGCCACCAATAAGAGGGAGTAGGACAGCTAGGGAAAAGGGAAAAAAATGGCGGACTGCGTTGTTTGGCGACCCCCGTGAAATGGTCGTTTGACCCCAAATGGGGTCCCGACCCACAGGTTGAGAACCACTGGTCTAGAAAGACCTCGACAAATAGGAAAACACAAGGAATAATCCTTTTATTCTTTATATTTAGTAGATTATAGTATATTATATGCAACGGCATTTATTAGAACCCGCAACATTTTTTTTGCTTCAAGAGGAGGCTCTGAATGGAGAAATAGTACGGTAAGAGGTAAATTGCTATGCTATAGAGCATGTGTCATGCACAGACCACGTCCACCTGGCTCCGCAAAGACAAAAAAAAATGTCGTGATATGTCACGATACGTCACATAACACGATCGAGGTTGGCACCCTTCCTTCCTATGGGGTGTTCTCTTCAAATGCAAACTCATTCATGAAAGAAGGGACCACAAGGTTCATTAAAAGGAATGTGAAATCATAATTTAATGTAATAAGTCTAGTCATACTCTAGGCAGGCAATTCCCTCATTTTCATTCAGAATGGGAGATGGGAACAGATTAGATGCTTATGTTTTCAACATAAGGTATCTACTACAGATAGCTCAGATGCCTTTTGAGCATCAAGGTGCTTCAAGATCCTTTCCTGGTGCATACCAAGTGCCTTATGCGAGCCTATATTATAAATATACTTGGCTTAAAAAAAAAAAAGAGGGAAATTGTAAAGCTAATCTCCAGGATGCAACAAACTATTTAATGCCTCTGTGTTCCACACAGACCTCAAAGTTATTTTTAGAATATATAAATGTCAGACAGCTACAGTGGAATGGTGGGTTAGTGGAGACCATCCAAGTGTTGGTGGGAACAGAGAACAATCTAACTAGTTTCCATCTCAAATGCGTGAGTGGTTTGCAATCAACCACCCCCATCTTGGCAGCATTTATATACCACTTCTTGTAAAAGGTTTCCACATAGTTTACAGTTAGTTTTAAAAATAACTAGACAAGAGATATTTCTTAAACAGAAGCAGAATGACCAAAGGCAAAAAAGCAGTGGGAGCAGGGGTGATTTCCAACTTCATGATGGATTGATTATGACTGATTGCCCTCTGACAGCTGATGGTGGGACTAGTCTATCTGGCCCCTAGAGAAGCGGTTCTCAACCTGTGGGTCGCAACCCCATTTGGGGTCGAACGACCATTTCATGGGGGTCGCCAAACAACGCAGTCCGCCATTTTTTTCCCCTTTTCCTTAGCTGTGCTACTCCCTTTTATTCTATTGGCTTTTGAAAGCCAATAGAATAGACTCTCTTGGATAGAGTCTAATTCTATTGGCTTTCAAAAGCCAGTAGGAATTGTCCAGGCTGTCTCTGCCCTGCTGAACCCCCAAAAGTCCCATTCTGCAAA